AAGAAAGAAAATAAAGAAAAAAAAAGAAAAGAAAGAAAGAAAGAAAGAAAGACATAAAGAAAGACAGACAGACAGAAAGAAAGAAAGAGGTAAAGAAAGCAAGCAAGCAAGCAAGCAAGGAAGGAAGGAAGAAAGAGAGAGAGAGAGAGAGAGAGAGAAAGAAAGAAAGAGAGCAGGGCGAGCGCGCGCGCGCTCGTGTGCTATGGACGGCTTACTGGGCTCTTGTCCTCCTCTTGTCTTCTGTGCTGGGCTCTGTGGCTGGGCCTTGTCCTCTTCTTGTCCTCCTCTTGTCCTTGTCTTGGCCGCGCCCCTGAACTCTGTGGCTGGGCTCTGTGGCCCGGCTCTGTGTCCGGGTCTTGTCCTCCTCTTGTCCTTGTCTTGGCCGCGCCCCTGAACTCTGTGGCTGGGCTCTGTGGCCGTCCGCACCTTTCCAAGAAGGACAAACAAACAACTAGGGTCACTCAAAAAGTTTTGCGTTTTCAGTTTTCTTAGCTTAGTTTGCTATATCTCCATCCACCTCCGATATATATATATATATAAATAATGAGCAGCTCTCCGCCATTTTGATCCTCGCTTAGTTTTCTATATCTTCTTCCACCTCCCATATTTATGAATACTAGCTGCTCCTCCAAAAATGTTTCAGTGTTTCAGTGTCAATGCCGACAAAAGTTCATTGATGAAGCAGTTTGCTCTTGGGGTGAAAGTAGGGCGAACCAAGAAATCGTTTTTTGACTAATATTGGTCTTAAACGAATCGTTGAATCGTTTTGAAGCTGTTTGGGGTCTATGCTTGTATAATCTACTAGATGGTAGCCCCCATCAGTTGAGGTGGGCTCTTGTCATTTGGTAGATTACGTGTGTAAATGCCAGGTGTGTATATAAATTGGTCTTTTGTCTCAGCCTCAGGCCCTGAGGGGATGCCGGCGCGACGCTTGTGCTGCGCCTTCGATGCCACCTACTTGTTGAAGATGCTGTCCCAGCTTGAGCTGCGTGGAAAGCGCGGTGTGGTTGGAGGCGCTTGGTGCCCACAGACAGATGAGGACCACGATCTGTCTTTCTTCAACTTGCAGGACCTGACAACGGCGAGGTTGGCAAAGGTATCCAAAGCAGGCACTATGCTTCTTGTCGCTTCCTAAGGGATTGTATTTTTTGCTTTTTGATTTCACGCTGGATGGCCGTGGAAGATCTTGGAAGTGCATATGCTAGACTTTCCTTTACTTTGCCCATTCTGCTGAGGCTGGAGTTTTTATGCTGGGACCCGTGCAGTCCCAGCAAGCTTTGCCTTTCTGCGGCATCAATGCCAATGCAGCTTTCAGCACCATCCACCAGAGCTTCTTATAGCGGAAACTGGCAGATGCTACAGATTTTGGGAGAGTTCATGGCCTCAGCTGGTTGGTTGGTCAAGGTCCTCGTGTTTGACAACCACCAGTCGCACAACCACCTGCGGAGCGCAATCCACGGAGATTGGATATCTATCCAGCCTGAGGATGTTGAGGATGTGCCTTGGTTTGGAGAGCTCACATATGAGAACTTTCCAGGCTTGGGGCTGTTGAAACTGTTTGCAGTAGACATCAGTAGACCATTTTTTGTTATTAAACCATCCATGATACACATACTCTACAAAATGAAGACATCCAAGCATAGACTTGAGTTCCTGCTTTTTGTAGTGGGGTGGGTGTAGTGGGTGAATTGCAGGACACTCTTTGCCGAGACTACCATACAAGCTTTGCAAGTGGAGGAAAGATTACATCTATGCAGTTCCTGGACCTCTTCACTGCTCCAAAAATGCTGGAGGGCAACTTTGCTCTCCGCTCCGAACGATTCGCATGGGAGCTTACTGGGTGGACTCAACGATGACCAGGCGGCTGGGCATGCCACCTGCAGCCTACTCACGGTTGCATCCAATGAGCGATCGACTACAGGCCATCTTGATGAACCCTTGGTTCCTGGTAGTTGACCCTATGGTGAAACTCAGCCAAATAGTGGTGCCGTGGGCATTGAAAGGCTTGCTGCTTTTCAACCTCACAGTTGCTCTGCCTCTTGCAGCAGCGCTGCACAAGTCAATGTCTCTTTTGGACAGGTGCGAAATAGCCCTCACAGGACTGGTACTTCTGGATTTGTGGAGGCTCGTGGCAGAGAAGACTGCAAGAGAGATGCAAGTCTCACCCAGTTCACTTTGCATGGCGCTGCAAACATCCAAGAACTTGCAATCTTTGGCGATGTCTATCGCAGCCATCACAGCCTCCAAGGACGAGGCTTTGGCCATCCTTAGCACTTTTTGGTTGTAATTGATGGATGCTGTACCTGTGGCTTTTCATTGCTTTGAAGGGCTCTTTATCCCAAAGATTTCTACAGTATCCTGATGTATCCTGTCTTTGTCAGGGTTGAATAGGTATTGTTGAAATGTTTCTTGCTTTGAACATGTTCGTGCCCAGGAAACATGGAACCCCTGGAAGCATGGGTGGTGCAGGGTCAGCGAAGCGTCAATCGAACAACACTTTGGGCACATCCGGTCTCAACATGCAAGCGCGCAGGTCAGCGCACGGTCATACTGGCACAGCTGTGCCAGGCTCAGCTTGTCATCACTTGGAGCCTGGAAGAAGAAGGACAGCTTCAAGTTGTTCAAAGAGGCAGCCGTGACACCAAAGGAGTTCTTTGGCAGAAAGAAACTTATTAGACATTAATAATCATTAATATTCATTAATCATTACTGTAATCATTGTCCTACTTTTTGCTGATGATTTATCACAAAGGTTACTCCCTTCATTTTGTAGCTAGCTTATGTTGAGGAAAGGATGGCGCATGATGGAACCATATGAACCATTGTCCTACATTTTGCTGGTTGTTTATTCCAAAGGTTACCACCCTTCATTTTGTAGTT